TGTTGACTCAATACACTCCAAGAAGAGGTGAATTGGAGTTAGAAAATTTTTATCTCTTTGCAACCACTAAACAAAAGTTAATGAGAAAGTAGTGAAGAAGAGTTTGCACAATAATTTTATAAAAGTTCGGTTCAACCATTTGGAGTCTAATCATTTACCTTGACTTCACTCACTAAGAATTTTCTCCACACTCTCCACTAAGAAAAATAAAAGTGGCTTAAATGACCCACTCAATCTTTTTACATGGAAAATGGTGTTTTTCTCAAATCTCGTCAATTGACAAGATAAATCCTAAGAATCCTCTCTACAAATCACTCTTGAAAGAATAATCACACCCCCTAGATAACACGCAAGTAGAATAAGAAGAAGATTACAAATAAAGATCAATTAAAGATTAAACTCAAGTTAAAGCACAAAGTAGATAAATGGAGATATTCAATACAATACTCTAAAACTAATCTCAGATCTGCTACCAACCATATTTATAGTCCCTTGATCGAAAATAGCCATTTTTAGCTGTTGAGGGTCATTAAATGCTCTGCAGGTCGTGTAATTTCGAGTTGCAGAATTGTCAGTACAATTGATTTAAAGCCTAGAGCTAGCTCTGTATAGCCAACTTAGAGTTCTACAGTCAGTTTTACAGGTTTCTTGCACATTTTGTTTTTTTTGTAGAGCTGGCTTAGATTTTTTGAGCTAGCTTTGTGATTTCCTACACATTTTGTTTTTTTTTATACAATCGGCTGCAGAATATAAAGACAACTTTGGGATTCTAACTTTAAAAACATTAAATAATATTTAAATAACTCGATCATTGTACATTAAATACGCCATCATAACTAGCTGCAAAGTTAACATTGGTTTTGTATTCATTTTTAGCACGCGCCAAACTATGCACTTAAATTTTTATCCTGTAGAGCCGGCGGTAGATTTTAGAGTCGACTCTCTACACTTTTACCTTCTAGAGCCAATTGCAGATTTCTTTAAGCTGGCGTTCTACACCTTTTCAGCCTGTTTTGGTCCTTTTTAGTACACAATAATTTCACTTAATTTTATAATGTTTTGAAAGTTCAACTACACATTTAAA